ATATTTCTTAACATCTCTCCTCAAACTCACGATGCGGCAGTTACAAGCATCGAGAGTTTGCCAACTAGAAAACGAAAATGAGAAATAGAATGCGACTTGGTAAAGAAATCTGCAATCTGCAAAGAAGAAGAAACAAATGACAAAGTAATGGTGTCATGCTTGAAATGATGACGAGTAAGGTGACAATTGATCTCAATGTGCTTAGTTCGTTCATGAAAAAGCGAGTTGTGAGCAATCTGAATAGAACTCTGGTTGTCACAATACATAGGAGTGGGATAAGAAAAAGAAACTCTCATATCTGCAAGTAACCAATGTAACCAAACAATCTCTTGGTAGTAGATGTCATAGCACGATATTCTGCTTCGGTTGAAAATTGAGAAACAATAGATTGTTTCTTGCTCTTCCAAGAAATAAGAGAGTCACCCAAAAAGATACAGAATCAGTAACAGATTTGTGATCTGTGGGATCACTGTCATGATTAGCATCAAAGTATGCACACAACTCCAAGGAAGAGGTGGATGGAAGTAAAAGACTCTGAAAGACTGTCCCCGAAGATATCGCAAAATACGAAAAACAGCTGCCCAATGAACTGTAGTAGGAGAAGCAACAAATTGACTAACAACATGAACAACATATGCAATATCTGGACGAGTAATAATGAGATATATCAAACTCCCAACAATAGTACGGTAAAAAGTAGGATTTGACAAAGGTAAACCATCAGAAGAAGAATATTTGCGTTAACCTCAATGGGAGTATCTACAGTCTTATTATCACTAAGTCGAACTTGCTCAAGAATATCTGTAACATATTTCGACTGAGAAAAAAAATAACATCTAGGTGAGCAGGCTACCTCAATACCCAAGAAATATCATAGAGAACCCAAATCCTTCATGTCAAACTATCTAGATAACTTTATCTTCAAAATTGAAATACCGTCAATATCATCACTAGTAATAATCATGTCATCAACATATAAAGACAGAATGATATGACCTACATTAGTGTACTAAACAAAAAGAGCAGAATCATGACTACTAGAAGCAAATCCAAGGGAAGATATCACAATAGAAAATTTCTCAAACCAAGCACGAGGTGCTTGTTTGAGACCATATAACACTTTCTTGAGCTTGCAAACATACCCAGAATCATGTCAAATACCAGGAGGGGATGCCATACAAACTTCTTCTTGAAGATCTCCATTTAAGAAGACATTTTTAACATCAAGTTGAGAGATATGCCACTGACAAACCGAAACAACTGCAATAAGAGTACGAATAGTAGTCATTTTTGCAACAAGAGCAAATGTCTCCTCATAATCCATACCATAATGTTGAGAGTACCCTTTTGCAATCAACCTAGCTTTGTATCGCTCAACAGATCCATCAGAATTAGTCTTGATCTTATACACCTAACGACAACCAACAACACTCTTACCAGGAGGTAGAGGAACCAAATCCCAAGTACCTGTCTTTTACAAAGCAGAAAGTTCCTCATCCATAACTTGCTGCCAAAGAGAATCAAAAATGGCCTCTTTATAGGAAGAGGGCTCAGAGAGACAATGAATAAAAGATAAAAAAGAAGTAAAAGATGAAGAATAACAAGAATAATCAAAATTTGGTAACTTTGTGGACTTACAAATGCGTATGGATTGACATAGAGGTTGATCCACAATCTCAGATGGAGCTTAAGGGACCATAGGAGAAGAGGTAGTTTCAGGTGTGCCAGAGAGTAAAGTGTCAGTACCTGCAGAAGGATTAGTACAAATTGGTCGAGTATAATGTCAAGGTAACAGGGTAAAAACATGAGAAATGGTATTTGAAGTACTAGAAATCTGAGATGACAAACTATCAGAATCCTCAGAAAAAGAATCTATACGAATAAGATCAGATCTAATCAAGCTAGACACATAAAGTTTCTGAGTTATTGGATCAAAACAATGATACCCCTTTTTACCTTCACCATGACCAAGAAAGACATCGAGAGGACAGCTTGCTGCGTTCAACATGAGGACGAAGAATGAAACAAGTACAACCAAAAACTCTAAAGGAAGAATAATTAGGGGCATACCCATACAATTTTTCGAAAGGAGAAACACCTGAAATATGAGAAGATGGAATTGTATTAATCAAACCTACAGCGGTAAGAACAGCTTCCCCCAAAACGCACTAGGAACAGAAGCAGACAACAAGAGAGAACGAGCAGTTTCAACAATGTGCCTATGTTTTCTTTCAGCAACACCATTTTGCTAAAAAGTATCTGTACACAAAGTTTGGTGAATAGTTTCATCTAAGGCAAGCAACTCATCAAATTTATTAGAAGTGTATTCCCCACCCAAATCACACTTAAAATATTTGATAATAGTAGAATGTTGAGTTTTGACAAGAGCTCAAAATGTTGTATATATCTCAAAGAATTCAGAACGATGTTTCATTAAATAAATCCAACAATAATGCGTATAATCATCAATAAAAAAAACATAATATCGAGACCCTCCTTTTGTGGCAATAGGAGAAGGCCCCATACATCAGAATGAATCAAATCAAATGGAGAAGAAGAAACAGAAATACTTCGATTACAAGGTAAAGCTGAAAATTTTGCCAGTTTACATTCATTATAATCAGAAATATCACAAGTTTGCAAATTTCTAAAAATGTCAAACGAGAAGACGAAACATGACCTAGACGAGAATGTCATAAATAAAAACTAAAAGAAGAATGACTCAAACGAAAAGAAGATAAATCAACACTAGCAATAGCAGCAATTGACACTTTTAACTCATCCAAAATATATAGTCCCCCTTTCTATGACCTGTCCCAATCAGCTTCTGAGACTGCAGATCCTGCACATAATAAGAAAAAGAGGAAAATGTGACTAAATTACCAGAATCACATAACTGATCAATAGAAGCAAGATTTAATGTGAGTTTCATAATATGATAAACATCAGGGAGAGACAAGTGAGGTGTGACAATAGAACTAACACCTGCTAAAGGCATAGGAGTGTCATCAGCAGTCATAACATGAATAGAAGATGAAGGAGATACAGAAGCAAAAAATGGAGAATCTGGAGACATATGATGTGAAGCACCAGAATCCAAGATCCAAATAGTATGTGACATACCTGAAGAACTATGAGGCAATTGACCTATGGAAGAAGAAGCAGACATAGCTTGTGGCTGTGAGGAGAGAAACTTCTGAAATTGCTCAACCAAAGTACTATAATCGATTAAAGGACTTGATGAAGCCACTGCTGTAGTATTAGACTGTGGTGGTTTGTAACTCTGAGATGGTCTATGAGCATTAGATTGTGATTGGTTGCCAGGCTTCCAAGCTTGAGATTGATTCTGTTGTCTTAACTTAGGACATTGAGCCTTCCAATGACCTTTCTGCTTACAGAAACTGCACTCGTCAAAGACAGTCCTTGTATAAGGCTTATTCTGATTATTATAGAATGATTTAGAAGGTACTACTAGCACAGAAGGATTAGAAGTAGAAAAACTTCCCTTTTTAAAATAAGACTTAAGGCCTATTTCTTCAGCCAATAACTCACTAACAACTGAGTCAACAGAAGGAAATGGAGAACGATACAAAATTGAACCTCTAAGTCCTTCAAAATTACTACGAAGTGCTGTTAAAAACTGTATCAACCGTTGCTACTCTCTACGAGCAATATAGGCACCACATGCCTTTAATTTGGTCGATTCTGTAAGAGTCAATTGATCCCAAAGATCTGTCATAGCAGAATAAAACTCTTGAATACTCATATTCTTCTGTTGAAGAGCTCGTATGTCATTCTCCAATTGATACTGCTTTGCAAAATTTGATTAAGTGAATAATCTTTGCAGATGATCCCAAACCTCGTGTGCTGTCTCATACTTTGCCAATTGTGTACCTATAGAATGCTCAACAGAATTGTTAATCCAAGTAATAATTTTTGCATTGTCAGCATCTATCAAAGCAGCATAAACCACATCAGTATTCTTAGGTTTCACAGAAGTTTCACTAACATATCCCCGCATCTTTTTACCCTTAAGAAAATTTCTCATCACATAACTCCAATACGAATAATTCTTTTCATCCAACCTCACACTCACAGACTGAAGTGAATCGTCTCTTTCAGTAGTCATAATCAAAAAACAAAGAAAACCAGATTACAAAAATAGAACGAATGCCTTCTCAAAAAAAAAATTGGATACGCGTAAGCTGTGTTTGAGATTAAGTCTTTTCCCATGAAACTTTGTTTTGATACCATGTTAAACAATCTAATAAAAGAGAAATACAAGAGATAAGAAAAGAGGATGTTAGGGTTTTATTGATACTGCATAATTCAATTGAATATAAAGAAGTGATTTAACCTAAATATAAAGAGACTATATATAGGCTAAACAAAGAGAAAGTAAAGAACTATTCTACCCTTAATAAACAAAATAACCAATAACCCTATATTTCTTAACAATATGCAGCTCTAAGATCCAACCCACATATGCTCACAGTAGCAGCTCCTTAGGAGTCACGTCCACTAAAAGGTTGGGATAAATCTGACTCGAATCGAAATTGTCCATAAAATCATGGTAATAATAAATACTATGCTATTATTTTAAAATATTGAGAAGAAGGACATCGTAAGAGAAATCAAATAAAAGGATAAATTGATGGAACATATAGCAAATGAGGCAAAGGACTAATTGGGAATATAGCCGATCCGCACCGACTACTCAGTTAGGCAGCCTCCAATGGCTTCTTTATATAACTTTTTTCCTTGTAACAATTAGTCCATTAAAACTAAAATTAATGGTAAAATTGAATCTGTCGTTCAAGAATCCAATTATAACGGTTGTAACTGAAATAAAATAATTAGAAAGTTTTAAAAAAACTTTAATTTATTCCAACAGTTACTCCTCCTCTCACCAGTTTCCATTACAAGCCATTATGCCTCTTTGTGTCTGTCTCTCAATTTTCCGACGACTCTCGAAGTGGCGGCCACTTCTATTCTACACCATGGCGTGGACGGTCCTTCTAACGGCAACAGTGGCAGTGGCATCGTTCTCGGCCGAGATTGCATTTGTGATTGCCGTGTCACCGTCTTCGTCTTTCTCGCGGCCTTGTAATGTGGTAAGAACCCGGATTCCGGTGGATGTTCGGTGGATGTTCGTGTGCTAGCCGGTTCACTTGGTGAAGAGGTCTGGTTCGGATGTCATTGTGCCAACCGTTTTTGTTGCTTCGGTTGTGGCCGGTTCTACATGCATGATTCGAGCCGTGGGCTTGTAAAGCTCACCAAAGCAGTTGATTTGATTTGATACTTACTGGAGGTATTTGGCATGATATGATTGGAGGATAGGGAATTTAAAAATTACAAAAGTGCCTAGAAAATTGATTTTTTTTTTTTGAGTAATGCTACATGAACTTAAAAATAGACTTAAAAATTAGACTAAACAATTAGAACCATTGATTTTACTGTGGGTCTCAGCATTTATTGGGACTCACTACATATTCAATGATTGAGATTATTAAGTCTAATTATTAAGTTCACGTATCATTACTTTTTTTCTTATAAAGTCCTACAACATGTGATGCACAAAATTTGTCTTTCCCGCCATCAACTCATTTTACTTCTTTTTAACCCTCATATTTCTAAAAAATTACTCATTAATGGATTAAAATAATATTTTTTAAATATAAAAAAGTGAAGAAATATGAGTAAAAAATTAAATTTGAAATAATTTAAAAAAATAGTGGGCGTAATTGCAAAAAAATGGAGGGAGTATTTAAATAAGCCACATAATGTGATTGAAATGAGTTAATTAAATATTTAAAATTTTAAAAATTAAGAATTTAAAGAAGGAAGACTTGAAAAGGTTCTCTTAGTTTTCTTCTTTAACGACGGTCCGTTATATCGAGCTCAGTCTAAAATTATAGATTAAGCCCAACTCAAAGGCCCAGTTTAAAAATATAAATTAGACCCAGATCAAAGATACAACCCAACAATGACCAAGCCCATCATCTTGGAAAACTTAGTCTACTAGTGATGCACGTAAGATCTCCATCTTAACAAAGGAATCAAGGCAAACATTGCAAACCTCAACTATCTCGTCCGTTACTCCAACATCAAGAGTCATCCACTCCCGTTACAAGGGTGACGCATTAACCGGGGCTTCTCGCGATGACGCTTCCATCAAAGCTTGCTCTAAGGCAACATGAAGATTGTGCTCCCCTATAAGTTGTAAGTCTCACATACACATGTAAGGCATCACACACATCTCAGCATACCACATTCTTGTGCAATAAGATGCTCCGACCACCGTAGTCCTTTCTAGTAAAGTAAGTCACCTAAATCGAATCCACCCAATCTTTGTATTTGCATGTGTTAAGCCCTTCTTACCTCATCCATTGATTGATTTTGCAAAAATACTTTTGTGCATCATCACTTTTATTTCAAGACAATGTATAGATTGAATTATGCATCATACATATCTTCATAAGATGTCCAGAGTTGCTTTTGAGTAGTGATTTATTGTTTCAATTCTGCTTCATTTGGACTCATAGCTAGCTATTACACAACTATTGAATGCGACTTCTAATCACGTATATCGATTAAACTTGTATTATACATGTCATATTAAGGCTTATTTATTTATTTTTTGGGTACATTGGAAAGTGAAAACAGAGGGGTCGGTTAGACTCTCTTTTGAAAGACATGCATGTCAAGGTTTTGTAAAAAAGAGATACATGCGCAGGGATTTACATCCCGTTTGTTTGACCACTGAATTAATCTTGTTGATTATCGTAGGTGTTGTTACATTTACTCAAAGCTTTTAGATCAAATATTATATTATTTTCTCTTCCAATCGTTACCAAAATTTTTGAGCAAATTCATAAGTATAAAGGACAAGATGATAACCTACGAAACACGTATACTTTGTTGAGGTTGACGTACTTGTATTGGATACAATACTCGTCGAATACTCGAAGATATATATCTGATACACCTTCTACGTATCCGATAATAATTAAATATTATGATACTTTATGGATACTTTTGTAGTAGAGGAACATATATAATTTTTTAGTTAAACTTTTAACATCTCTTTTCGAATTCACATACCATACAATAACATTAACAAAAAATTATATTACTTCAAAGACACTTGAGTTTTTTAAGTATTATCTACAATTACATGTCAAAAGAGCATAAAATAAAACTATTACATTATAATCTTAGCAAAAATAACTTCTAAATACTATGTAAATATTAGTTTTGATTCATTTAATTAGTTCTTCACTTTGTGAATATACCACAGTGATACGATATATATTTTCTTGAAAACTAAAAAAAATTACTAATTTTTTTTATTATGTGTTAAAAAACTACCAAAATATATGAGTGTTATATTAGTTGAAAATAATAAAAATATTAAATATATTTTATTATAGCCATATTTTAGTCGTATCTGTATCATATTTTTTTTGACTTTGTCGTATCGTTGTATCCGTATTGTATTCTACCCGTATCCGGTATCCGTATTCGTGTTTTAGATGATAACTAACCGGGATGAATGAAGAAAACACAAATGGAAAATTACACTTTGACCCTCTTAACTATGACTACTTTTTCATATTGCTCTCTCAGCTATTATATTTTTTATATTACACCATCAACTATATAATTAGTTTCCTATTCTCCCAATTAATTAATGTTCATTGTAAATTTGATGGAAAGTAGTTTCATTTTTTCTATTGAACTATGCAATTTTTTTTTCAGTTTACACTATGAAGTTGGTAATTTCTATCCAAAAAAATAGCGGATATTTGTTTTTTGGGCAATGTGAAATAATTCAAGTAGTTGATGAAGAAAAATAAAAATTTGAACAGTTCATGAGACAAAATGAAATCAAGTCCATACTTGAGGGGGTCGAAGTGTAATTTTCACAAAACCAACTTTGCTAAATTGACCAGATATTTTAACTTAATTTTGTGACCTAAAAAATATGGTGTGCTCACGTCCAACAAATAAAGGGTTGAATAACTTTTTTTTTTTCAATAATACTATTTAAACCTAATTTGTTTACTTAATTCATAATAACCATTTATTTGGTAGCGAATTTTAACAAATACGGAAGCCCAATATCAATCTAATAGGTATAAATAATTAGGTCAATAAATTATATTAATAAATTATATCTAATTTGGTACCCAAGTAGTTCGCGTGTCATATAGACAATTTGGTCGCGATTAGGCCGATTAGCCCCCCCCCCCCCCCAACCCCCCAAATTAATGCAATTTTCATAAGCTTTGGTGCCTGAACATCAGAAAAAACAACCTAAGCATCATCGACTTCCTTTACTTGACCAACTACCTAAATACTACCCAGGCTCATCAAGCTGTGTTTTTTTGCTTTCTTCAGGATTCGGCCCGATCTGTTTGCAGATTCTCTGTAGGAGGAAAATGGGTTCCCATTAGGTCACAGATCCAAAATGGTAAAGTTGCCAACTTGCTCACTACCAGTTGGGTGTACTGTATTACTCATTAAAGGTTTGGCTGCACCTTTCAGCGTTACGACTGGTAATAGGAATGCTATAGATTAAACGGAATTTGGTTCTCTATTGCCCAGAAGAACATGGAGAATGTTTTACATACATAATTTCTAACTGGAGTACCACCAATGTCCCACGTTGCATTTTGGACGGAAAAGACCAACTAATGAAGAAACTATTGGTAAATTGACCTTCGTTAGACAGAACCTTTGCTAGGAACTGAAATGGATCACTAGCTTGCAGTGCTAAGTGAATTCAACTTTCGTCCGATTCATTCATTTCTTCACTGTTTTGTATATACCAGCTAAAAAATTTATTTAACGATGAAAATTTCTTATACTTAAAGGCTAAGAGGAAATCGACCCCCAGAAATTTGTCATCATTCCTGGCCAGCTGGTTTACGTCAACAAACTCGTGCATAAAAAATGAAAAACAACATATGATTAGCCCTTTATAATACTGCCCCTGTCTCCGTAATAAATTCTCTTAACGTTAGACTGATAATAAAAACTCCTCTATCAACTGCATAAGAGCTCCCAAGGCTCACTTCCTCTTGTTAGGGTCAATTGTTTGGCTTAAGCCACTTCTTGTTTGGTAAGCGGGATGTTTATCCAGGCGTCATAATCTTGCCTAATCATTTGGCCGAAAATATCTTTGTATGATAGCAAGCTGTTTAGCCACTTGCATCGATTTGAATCCATGGAGTTCTTCAACTCACCATTACTCTAGAAGATATTGACCGCAAAAAAATATTGGATTATTAGTTTAGGAATTGAAAAAATTGTAAAAAATTTGACAACCATACAATATTAGTTTTGGGTAACATGTTGAGATGTTCAAGCTATTAAGGACAAGATAATAGAATCCAAGATATCTGTCATTATGTACATTAGGATAAGTGTAAATAATGACAAGTGTAAAATTTTGTCTTTATCGGGTTTTATTACCGAGAAATAATAGATTAGAAGGTGCACCTGTGGGGCATGTTTGGTTCACGGATTTAGGTGGGATTCATAGAATGGATTTTGTCAAAATAATTCAATGCATCACTTTATTCCTTGTTTAATTGCTGATTTCTGGTCCGAGATTTGAATCTCGCCTAGTAAGAGCCCTGCAAGTAAAATTCATGTACGAGGGTTTCAACAAACCCATGGGAGGATGGGTTTGGGTGGATTTAGCCAATTCTATAGCAAATATCTGATGACATTTGCTATTAATCGGTGGATCTCATGTGTATTTGTGTCCTTTATCAAATATAGAATTGGATATGGCCTATTGTTCAATCCCAAGAACAAAACCTAAGAGTTGAATTTGGAAGAGTTTCATAAATTTAATTCAATCTAATAAAATTGGAACGATACAAAGAAGATTTGCATGGCCCCTACGCAATGATGACACACACAAATCGAGAAATAATTCAATCCTTACCTTAAAAATTATCTAAACAGCCCCTTGGAGCTTTTGATCAATCCTTAAATGTACACACGATTTGTAAGACCACGTATATTTTTTGTATTCTATTTTTTTCTCTCTTTCCTTTTTTTGAGTTATGTTCTAAATTGCTACATCTAATTTAGTGGGGTTCACTATCAATCTAATGACAAATAATGATAAAGTTACTAAATAAGGTTCATGTAACATTGCACTCAATCGAAAACAACAGTCCCAAAAACAATTAACTGACTGATACTAACATCAATTAATTCTTCTCCGTATGTATGTGGGCCAAATGATAGTATAAAAAGAAAGTTTGAAAGCTTAGATTTTTCATTGCAAAACAATGGAACAACATTTGCTTCCCTATAGCTATGCATGCGCTAGTATTGTATTGCTTATATGCATTCGTCTCTGTTATGATCTGTTGCTGAAGCCTCAAAGGCTTCGATTAAAGCTTCGAAGGCAAGGGATTGATGGTCCCAAACCTTCCTTTATGATGGGTAACATTCCTGAAATAAAGCACATGAAATCGATGGTCAAGCTTTCGGAGTTTTCAAGCGATAAATGGGAACAATCTCCACCACTCGACACTTCTTCCATTCTCTTCCCACATTTCAATCAGTGGACTAAGCAATATGGTATAACTCACATTTCTTGTCGTTTATTATCTATCTTTATTTCATATTCTTCAAGTTTACTTGTGTTGGACTTTTTGCACCACTCAAAGTCAATACATGTATTTTCCAGTCACAAAATTCGAATTCGGATCATTTCAAACAAATAATGTTTCTTTGTTTTTTCATCTGATTAATTATGATTTCACTGAAGGTCATATGTTAATTAGTTTTGTTATTATGATTGGCGAATTTAGGGTGATTGGCGTAGACATTTGCCCTCCAAAACTTTTATCTATCATAATATTGTGAACAATGACACTCTCAAATTACATAAGCTAGCTTATCCCTCAATTTTTTTTACAACAATAATTGAAGTCTTTTCATAAATTCTTGGATCCGTCGCTGACAGCAGACATATTGTGTCATACCAGGAATAACTTTTTCATTTTCCCTTGGGAGGGTACGAGTGTTGTATGTGGCAGATCCTTATCTGGTGAAAGAAATAAACCAATGCAAGTCACTGGACTTGGGGAAGCCTGCGTATCTACAGAAGGACAGGGGACCTTTATTAGGCAAGGGCCTAATTACCACCAACCGTGGAGTTTGGTCACATCAGAGAAAAACCATAGCCCCTCAGCTCTACATGGACAAGGTTAAGGTATAATTTTGTTCCACTCGTCAATGTTTATTAAGAATATGACCAAATAGTTGTTGGTCACATATGGCTGTCAATGTTTTTAGTTAATTAATCCAGTTTCATGCCTTGTATGTAATGTCTATAAACCATGTACATAGCTGATTTCTGTTGTGTTAAGTTGGATTCCTGTTTACTAATCAAATTAACCTGTTAAACCTAAACCCGAACTCTCCAATATCGTGCCGTTTCATTAGAAACACGAAGCCTGAATGCACATATGATGGATTTAATCGCTGTAACCACTTATTGCAGGATATGTTGAATATAGTGGTGGAGTCTGCAAGCACATTGGTGAAATCATGGGAGAGTGTGGTTGAAAGTGAGGGTGGTACTGCAGACATAAAAGTGGATGATTATGTGAGAGAATTCACATCTCATGTATTCTCCAGAATTACGTTTGGGAGCAATTATTCTATCGGGGCTGAATTACTTCCGAAGTGTAGAGCACTTATCAAGGCCTCAGAATCACCCACCATTCTCAATGGGCTTCCTTTCTATAGGTGCGTAACTACTGTCTCTCTCTCTCTCTCTCTCTCTCTCTCTCTCTCTCGTGTTAGTGTGAGATATGAGTGCATGAGGCCATATAATCCAATAGGCAACAGTTAGGAATGAACATTCGTGGACTATAATTTATGGTTAGAGATGAAGTGTATACAATAAAGCGTTTCACAGACATTGATTAAATAGGCAGCATTAATAGATTGTTGTTGTTGGAGTTACATGATTTTTCAACAAGTCACATGATGAAGTGACTCAACACTGATTCAAATAAATTACTGCTGCAATGACAACACTCAAAAGAATGTGATTTTGCACCGATGTGTAGTTACAATGAACGACACTATACCAGTTTGTATTCACAATGACAAAACCTTTTTGACACTTCACTGATGCATCGAGGACATGTGCATCAGATTCAATAAGTTAGTACTCAATGTTGATTAATGCTGAACACTATGATGAAGTTGCCTCTTGTATTTGCATGATTATTCAGCAAACAAATTATTGTGAATTTTTTGGTTCAGATATCTTCCAACCAAGAAAAATAGAGATTTGTGGAGACTAGAGAAAGAGGTTCACTCGATGATCATTGATACAACAAAGAAACTTAACGGAGCTGTGGCCGACGACATGATACAAGTACTCATGGATGGTGCCAAGCGTGGTGAACTTGGGCCATCGACACCTGAAAAATTTATAGTTGATAATTGCAAGGATCTTTACCTTGCTGCATTTGAGGTCACTGCCATTGCCACAATATGGAGTTTAATGTTATTGGCTTCACATCCCGAATGGCAAGCTCGTGTTCGTGCTGAAATTCTGGAAGTTTGTGGGGGAAATATGCCGGATGGTGAAAAGCTTGGCAAGATGAAAGTGGTACGTGCCAGAACAACATGAACATACCATGAATTCATACACCCGTTTGGTCTGCATCCAATCTACTCCTCCCGAAATTGACTAAATGAGACTAAATTGAGTGTTAATATTTTAATTATATTGCACGGGTGATTTTCTGCAATGGATTAAGATAGCAATCTTCAGGGTGAATTCGATGATTGATCCTGAAACAGGGAATAATGTCAAAAAAGGGGCTGGCCAGGGTACACCCGGCTTATCCTTTTCAATGCTTTAGTCAATCGATACTTAAGTATGAGCATGTTAGAATAATTTAATATAAAAAAAAAATTGAATAATTATTATGTATGCCCAACCAGAATGATATTTTCATTATTTATATTTCATAGGATTCTTTAAAAATGGTTACATATGTGTGTATGTATATATATATATACACGTGTCATCATCAAACATTATTAATATTTTTAATGTGTGTTGAAGTTGGGAGTAATGGCTCCAAACTAGCCGTTTGAGATTAGCCTATATTAAGGTATCACTACAACTCATTTTTGGTGGATTCTTAACGAAGGAGATACACTATTTTCTATATTTTTTCATACAAAATATTCGTCTATTTGTTGTATAATTTATATGTGTTTTTTTGGGCAACTTGGGTTGTGGTCGTTCGTAATAGAGAGGTTCATGTCTGCATTGTAGTTTCTCTAGAATTGTTGTATTTTGAAAAAAAAACGTCAGAGTACTCTGTGCAAAGGGCGTATCTTTTCTTAGGACATCGCTTTTGACATGCCTCAATCCAGACTATTCTAAACTTATCTTCATGTGAATTTCTATTATCTTCCTGTGAAACATAAGTCCAATTAATTCTTTACCAACATTATAAATCAAATTATTTCCAACAATCTAAGAAGAGATATAAATATTGTTGGTTTAGAGTGGCATACAAAATTTTACTTCTTCATTTACTTGGGTCTTACATATATTTTTATTTGGAATATGAGTATTGTAGAATTCAATGATAACTCGATAAAGATGAAGGTTGTTTTTGAATAATTACTGATAGATCTCCTTAATTTTAAATGTGATATATATTTGTTTAAATTATCGAGAATTTAAAAAGAAAAGCCCTAGTTTTTAGAAGTATTCTATTTTAGGTATGGAAAAATTAAGAGCTTTGGGGAGAAATTATAAGAAATATTAAAGTTTTGTGGCTGATTTATAATCTATGAAACAAAGAGCAGTAAAGTGTAATAAAAAAATATAATTACTGATACTTACTTAAGGTCATCGATTAGGTGAAGGAAAAGAAAGAAAACAAGAAAAAGAAAGGGAAAGGAAAGGGAAAAAAGTTATGCGTTATTAAATCTTAAAAGAAATTGGGAGTTTAAATTTTTGATTGTTACGAATTAACTGCTAGTTATTTACTTGTGGACGAGTGATTCTCCTTCATAAAGTTACTTGAGGAGTTTTTATTATATAAATATATGTTACCATGTATATGACCATTAAACACTTGTTAATGAAATTAAAATAACGAAGAGATTCTTGACCTTTAGTAACTTTAATATAATAAGACTCTTAAATATCTGTTAGCAATTATTTTACACTGCTGAGTTTTTAAGTTTCTAGATTTCATACTTGGGCATTTCCAACTCTTGAAGGAAAATGAATGGTACAACATTTTGAACTCTTCCTGGTATTGGAACAATTAATTCTCTTTTATAGCTGGAGTGATTTTTTAGGACAAATTGATTGTCATAATAAGTATACTTTTGTGAAATTATTTTAAAGGTAGTCTTTAAGTATTTGACAACACTTGTTTGAGTAAGAGTAAAAGATGTTTACAAAATGCTCTCACGTGCTTAAAAACGAGCAATCCACTTATAATTTGCGTTGAAATTTGATTTTGAATCTAAATATTTATATGTGCCACAACAATAATACATAAAACATGATGCCTTTGTATAATTTTGAGAAAGAGTTAAATTTTCATTATATTTAATTGTTAGGTTTACTAAACCTATTGTTAATTTTCAGATTGTGGAGATTAATAAATTATAGTGAAGTTCCATGTCATTTTGAGAAACTTGATAAATGTGGGGTTGATATTGAAAGGATTCCAAATGTGGAGGTATATGAAGTGCAGTAAAATTCAATGTCAAAAAAAAATTGCCAATCTAGAGAAATTTGAAATGTGGGGATGCAAAATAAAATGTTATAAGTGATACTGAATGAAATTTGAGAGAGTGACTCCTAGTAGATTGAAGATTACTGGCCAAACTAAAAGGCGGTTCCCAGTATATAGAAGACTACTAGCCATAATTACGAAGTGATTCCTATTAGTTTGAGAACTACTGACCATAGTTGAAAATAGTTCCTAGTAAGTGAGAGATTATTGGCCACAATTTAAAAATAGTTCCTAATAGTATGACTACTCACTATAATTGTTTGGACTCGAAATATTGGACCTCTTGTCCTAACTGTTAATTTGTTGTCGCGATTCAAATAAAAGGACTATTTTATATGTTGGACAGTTAACCCGAGAGCTCTTATGGGATTGAGAACTATAAGAGTAGACCATCTTGTTAAAAGGCTAGTAAAAGCTACTTCTAAATTCATAGAGGGAAATGAGACTGAAGTTTATAAGTTAGTCATCACAATGAACACCTAACCTTTGTGATTGGAGATCCCCTAAAAGAGGTTCAATAGGTAAGAACGAAGTTGCATAATGACTATGGTGAGCACTGCAATTATAATAGGGAAATTCCCTAATCTCATTTCTAAGGTGATAGTACTTAAAACTGTGATGATAATAAAAGGAAGAGTTAATCTCTCAATGAGGTCAAGGCAGGATTCTGCAGGGTATTGATCACAGAATATTCTTGGAAGACTCATCTATATGTATGTTTGTAGTGAGGCCGCTAATACAAGATATAGGCTAATCCTTATTAGAACATACATGAAATCAAGATACAAACGCATGACCATAAGAGTGCAAAACTGATTAGAACTTGACCTAATACTTGTACCATGTGTTTGACAAGTAGAAAATTGAACTAAAGAATCTAGTTTAAGACTTGTTCACTATGATCCTTTCAAATGGAAGCTTATTAGGTTAAGTGACGGTTCAAGTCTAAACGACACCTATCACTCATTGCATGATATTGTTGTCCAAATTTAATTTTATTTAATTTTAAATAATATGGGGGATTGTTAGAATAATTTCATATTAAAAGAAAATTTTTGAATAATTATTATGTATACCCCACCACAATAATATTTTCATTATTTATATTCTATAGGATTCTTTAAAAACGGTTACATATGTGTATGTATATATATATATATATATATATATATATATATATATAATAGTTTAATATGTGTGTGTGTGTGTGTCGTCATCAAGCATTATTAATATTTTTAATGTGTATTAAAGTTGGGAATAATGGCTCCAAACTAGCCGTTTGAAATCAGCCTATATAAGGCTATCACAACAACTCATTTTGGAGGATTCTTGATGAAGGAGATACACTATTTTCTATATTTCTTCATACAAATATTCGTCTATTTATTGTATGATTTATATGTGTTTTTTTGGACAACTTGGGTTATGATCGTTCGCAATAAAGTGGTTCACGCATGCACCATAACTTCTTTGAAATTGTTGTATCTTAGGAAAAAAACGTCGGACTGCTCTGTGTAGAGGGGGCATATCTCTTCTTAGGACAGCGTTTTTGGCGTGCCTCAATCTAAGCTATTCTAAATCTTGATATGAATTTCTATTATCTTCATTGTAATTTATTTGTTTGTTAAATGATATTAAAATTTTCTTGTGAAACATAAGTCCAAATGACTCTTTACCAACATTATAAATCAAATTATTTCTAATAGAACAAGTGTACGGTGCAGAGCTATTCTTGCTTGTGTACCTTAGTTTGATCTCAATGGGGTATTTATAACTTTCATAGCAATGAGGTGACACTCATTCAATCTCCAATCTTAGGCTTTATACCCTATATCCTCTATCTAGAGTAATACGTGTTATTCCGTCACGACTTTTTAATGTCAAGTGATTGGACATCTGAGTTTACATGTTGAGATTTGATTATGCACTTATTACTTTATCTCCTGAACATCGAGTGTTATACCTCAATATTTACCGTTTATCGTCGATCATTTATGAGTAGGCGCACGGATCACTGCAGGGACTCCCTCAATGCTCCTTCCCTGCAGGAAAGGCCATGCCTTGTCCTTTTGATGGTTAGTCTTGAGTTGTTTTCGAATTAGACAATTAATAATGGTTTGTCACATCAACGCATTGCTTGAGGCTCATATATTGATGTCATTTAATACTCAGCATAGACCAAGTAAACATTCATTTGCAGACCAAGCATATGCTTGGTCTTGGCCTAAGCACCCTATGCCAGGTCTTGGCTACCAGGAGATCATCCCACGAGCTCTGACCACTATAGGCGGCCACGTGTCAGCTCTTAGTTGGATGGATGTCAACATCCCATCATATATTGTCAAATATGATGATTCAAATCTAAATTTTGTTGGTTTGATGCAGTTGAAGATGGTCATACAAGAGGTGCTACGACTCTATCCGGGAGTGGCATTTGTGTCAAGGGAGGCCTTGCAAGAAGTGAAGCTCGGAAAACTAAGGATTCCTAAAGGTGTAAACATTTGGATATGGCTACTAGCATTGCACCAAGACCCCAAACTTTGGGGGCCTGATGCAGACAAGTTCAATCCTGGGAGGTTTGCAAATGGAATATCGGGAGCATGCACATACCCACATGCCTATGCACCATTTGGTGTCGGGGCACGTATATGTCCTGGCCAGAGTCTAGCCATGTTGGAGATGAAAGTCATTCTTGCTCTCATGTTACCCAACTTCTCGTTCTCCTTGTCGCCTAACTATTGCCACGCCCCACACTTTGGTCTGCTTTTGGAGCCTAAACATGGAGTGCATCTCCTCATCCGCAAGATATGACCTTGGAGATATATATGACATATCAATAATCACGTCGTGATATCACCGTTCTAATCTTTGTACGAGGTTGCGTGTGATACTGTGATTGTCATGTACGCATGTGGTGTACAAGTGTCTTATTTGTAATAAAATATAAGAGGTTTTTCTTCCTGTGGCGGGAAGTAACCATATATACATGCTTTTAACTAATGAGAGTCGTACAAACTTTGATTTTACTTAAAATTTTACAAGCCTCCCAGATTAATCTTATTGAAGATAACTTGCACAAATTACCTATATTATGGGGGAGAGGGGGGTTTGGTGTCCTCTCACTTTATTAGTAGTTGAGTAATAGTTTCCTAATATTAGTTTGTTTTTTTTTTTGTAGTGAACCTCGACAGCGCGAGGGAAATTTGTTGATTAAAAAATTAAATTACACCTAGTCGAGAAAGCCGTATGTACAATCTAATTACATAGAATAAAATTGAAAAGAGAGAAAAAATGCATGCTTAGTACATGATAAATGAAAGAAAATAAATCCTAAACATTCAGCTCCTAAAATGGCAACTAAGGTGTGGGCAGCATTAAAGACCAGTTACAAGAGAGTGTAATGGAGTTGATATTTGGAGCCGAGAGAACCAATAGCCTGAGCTGTGAAAAATGACTGAGCTGAGGAGAACTAGCTGAGAGAAGGAGAGGACTGGTAAGCCTTGAGCTGTGAGCTATAACTGAGGCTGCTAAATGAGCTAAAATAAGAAAATAGCGTAGGCTGCTATCTAGCTGAGAGACCATCTGATAAGGCCAGTCCATTCGCCTGAATAAAGGTAGATGCTATAAAAGTTGTGACTTCAATCTTGAAGTTGTAATCTTAGAACGCAGGGATCTAATTTGTCTCTGATCCTGCCATAGCAGTTGCTTGGTTTGGATTGGTAGTGTTGTAGAAGAGGAATAGGACACAGAAGTTCTATTCTGAACACCTAGATTCGCCAATGAGTCTGCCACAGTATTTCCCTCTCTATATGAATGCTGGATTTGAAAGTCAAAATACTCGAGTAAAGAAAAGATTTGATAATAAATGTTCCAGTGTCTCCAACTAGGCAACTTCTTCTATTTAACCATGTCAACTAAAACCTGAGAATCACTTTCAATAGTAAGTGGATAGACCTCCAAACCAAACTCTTTTAACAAACGCAAACCATCAAGCAAAGATCTCATTTCAGCTTCCATATTAGTACAAACTCCATAGAAGAAGGATCCAGCTAGAACCAAAATACCCCAATGATTTCTCAGAGCCACTCCTCCACCAAAAAGTCCTGGATTACCATTAGAGGCACCATCAATATTGAGTTTAAGATTTCCTTCAGGTGGTAATACCCAACGTATCTATTTAGCATATTTGGATATGGTATAGACAAAGGAGACATTAAGAGAAGAAAGAAAAGATTGGTCATAACCAGAGTCTACTACCTTGGGTGAGATATTATGAGCTTGCAATCTCCAAAAATGCATAATTCTATAATAAATAGAAGTTGAGTGTTACCCCTGCCCTTCAAAGATCCTCCTACACCCCTCTTTCCATAATTGCCAATATACAATCAAGGAGATACCTCTCATCAACGATTGAAAAAGCGATGGACGCTTAAAATTTCTTAGTCTAAGAAACCTTGTTATTGGAGATTCTCCTTGTATGATTTGAAATCCCAGTAAGGTAGAAAGTTTACTCCAGATGCTTAATGCATAGTCACAATTAATGAACATATGATCAATCGTTTCTTCATCCTTACAACATAAGACACATCTACTCACCATAGAGATTCCCATACTCCGAAAGGTAGAATCTATTGGCAAAGCATTTCTCAAAATTTTCCAGCCAACCAAATGTGCACTAGGGGGTGAAGCTTGCTTCCAAATTGATGCTGCCTGGACACTCTGCTAACCCTGACTTCCTATTACTTCCCAAGCTATTTTAACAGTAAAACAACCTGTAGATGTAGGCTTCCATACCAATCTATCTTGTCTATCAGAAATAGAGACATTAGAAGATAAAACCTCTTGAATATGTTCCTCATCCATCTCCTGTTGAACATCACTCAAGTCCCATTGGTCCTGCACCAAAACTTGGGACAGTTTAGGATAGCATGAAGGAACAGTAGAATTTCGTAAAATTAAAGGAACCAACCCTGTCCAATTGTCACACCAAAAGTCAATAGAGCTACCAGTCCCCACCATCTTCTGCGTTTTTTCCACTACTAATTCAAACCATGGCTGCAATTTTCTAAGACTGCTAAAGCGACTTGAACTCTAGTTCCTTAGAATGTGCTGATTATGTAGGAATTTAGCTGCAAATAACGATGACCATAAGGACGTATTCTGCATCAAACACCAGATCTGCTTCATTCTCAAAGCTTGCTACGATTCCTCAAATTCTCTAATACCTAAACCCCCCTCCTCCTTTTGCAGTGTAACTATTGCCCAAGAACACCAATGTCTTTTCTTCACCTCAGACTTCCCAGACCATAGAAAGGCAGCCGTAATCGAGTTGAGTTTTGCTATAATTCCTTTAGGAAGGTTTAGAGTAGACAGTAAGTGGACAGGGAGAGAAGCAAGAACTGAATTGAGAAGAGTAATCCGGCCCATATTAGAAAGTAATTTACCATACCATCCATGGATTCTAGTTTGGAACTTCTGTAATAACTCCTCAAAATAGATGAGTTTGACCCTACCCTTGATAATAGGACAGCCCAAATAAGTGAAAGGACATGCTTTGAGTGGGATATCCGCTAAGCGAGATAAACTATTCCTTCTTGAAAGAGGGATTTTAGTTGAACAGTATAGAGAGCTCTTTTGTCTATTTAGCTTCTACCCAGAAGAAGCTTCATACCTTTCCACGAATTTCAGCAAATTAGAAAATGATCTTTTGTCTCCCCTTAGGAAAATAAGCGTATCATCAACAAATAAGAGGTGACTGAGTAACTTTGAACCTCTGCCAGTGTGAAAGCTTCGTATTGTTCCTTCAAGAAATTTTTGTCTAAATCCGCTGCTTAAAACTTCCTCTGCAATAATAAATATAGGGGAAAGAGGATCACCTTGCCTTAACCCGCTTGATGTGGGAAAAAAACCTTGATTGATAAGGAAATGTGTTGGTTATTTAGACAATTGGAAATGATAAGGATAAATGTATTAGAAAAGCCAAAGCACTTCAAGGTATGCTTTAAGAAATCTCATTCAAGTCTGTCAAATGCCTTCATCATGTCTAGCTTGACTATAGTATTCCCTGCCTCCACCTTTCTATCCAATTCATTCACCATCATCTGAGCTATTGCAACACTATCGCTGATATTCCTTCCTTGAACAAAGCCTTGATGTTCATCTGAAATAAGCTTGGGAAGAAGGGTTCTCAATCTAGAAGACAGTAGCTTAGTAAGGATTTTGTATATGAAGTTAAAAAGACTTATTGGCCTAAAATCTGAGAAATTAAAAGAATTATCTTTCTTTGGAATAAGAGACAGTAGAACAAAATTAACCGATCTAGGAATCACTCCTCCTTGTAGAAAGAAGTTAGCTGCAACTGGTAAATCCTGCTTATGATATCCCAAGCCACTTGAAAAAATTTACCAGAGAATCCATCCGGACCTGGAGCACTATGTACTGACATACCAAATACCACATCTTTAAGCTCTTCTAAAGAGACCGGAGCAATAAGCATGGCATTATCATCATTAGTTTATTTATTGTTAACTTTTCAAGTGAAACTACCCACTCTCTCTCTCACATCTCTCTTTTCTAGACATCTCTCCCTCTCACGTTTGCAAACACGACACTAAAAATGTTTCACATATATACTTGGGCACAGTATAAATTAAAAAAAAAAGAGAGAATAAATTTTGTATAGTCGATTTGTAAACTAATGGTTTACATACAATCAATCAATGTTTGATAACTACACAAACACATAAACCAATATTGAGAATTCTTAATAAGTTTATGTAATTATCAAATGTTGATTGGTTGTCTATAAACAATTGATTTATAGGTCGCCGATAAAGAATTTATTCTCTAAAAAGAAATAATGTAATTGCATCAAAAAGAAATATATTCTTGAAGAGAAAAAGATTTTATATTCTCTCTCATGTACTTCGACGTATGAGGTATAAATTTCATGGTCCTGATTTTGATGCAAAGTTACGGAGACACCATGACATGACAGGACTACCAACGGTATCATTAAGGAGCAGTCCATAATCTGAGGTTGAGTCGCACAAGCCTTTCTCCCTTTTTTTCTTTTCTAAGGATTAAAAGTGTAATTAACCAAAAAAACAGAAGGAAACTGACCTTAAATAAACAGATCGCTACTTCATTTCCTCCATTCCTGTCATGAGAAGTTTATTTTTCTCTAATGTAGTTACTCCTCTGTCCCTCTCTCTCTCTCTCTCACCAGTTTCCATTCCAAGCCACTATGCCTCTCTCAATTTTCCGACGACTCTTGACATGGCGGCCGCTTCTATTCTACGCCGTGGCGTGGAAGGTCCTTCTAACGGCAATAATGGCAGTGGCATCGTTCTCTGCCAAGATTGCATTTGTCTTGGCCGTGTCACCGTCTTCGTCTTTCTCGCCGCCTTGTAATGTGGTCGGGCCCAGGATTCCGGTGGAGATCGTGTGCTTGCCAGTTCACCTGGTGAAGAGGTCTGGTTTGGATGTCATTGTGCCAACCGTTTTTGTTGCTTCGGTTGTGGCCGGGTCTGCATGCATGATTCGAGCCGTGGGCTTGTAGGCTCACCATGATTTGATCCACAGGCATGCTCCTACAATACAAATACAATGTCTTGGGATATCACTAATTAATTATGAAATTACAAATAAGATTGATACTATTCCTACATGACAAAAGTAGTTATCGATAATTATTAAAACAGTGGAACCCAACTTGATATTTTATCATAGGTTGGTGACACTATGTTATATTGATGAGATAATATAACTGTTACAGTTAATATTTTTTTCTTATAAACGCTGCCCTTTGC